CCACACCAAATTAATATGAAAACTAAGGTGAATTAATTTTAAAGCGATAAAGTTTTCCAACGCTATTTGTTAATTACGTAGATTCCAGAGAGCACACCATTAAAGAAACACTGAACTCTTTTTGGCGGGAGCAATACTTGATACAAGCATACTCGCGAATCTCGGCTTATATTGAATATTTACCGTAATACTTTATTAATATTAATATTAATAAAATTCAATAATAAAGCATTAATTGTATAGAATTAAAATCGGTTTTGAATCCAGCTTGAAATCCGATATATAAAAGAGATTTTGTTGAAAACTGTTAATCGATTTTCGAGAATTTTCCAGTTTATTCCTACGTTAATACTATACTTCTCCTTCACATTCAATTGCGGCTTAATACGGAACTCCACAGAATTGAAGTCAAAGTTTGGACCAGCGTGAAACGAATTTTTTTCCCCGGGAGCTTTCGTGTTTATTGCGTAAAAAATATTAAATTCTGGAAACCGTAGGCGAGTAGCCCACTGACTCCTTCTGTCTGGTCTCGGATTAAAACATTGATTTTTAAAACATTCTCTCATAGCGTTTTAAAAACTATTTTAAGAAAAGTTGGTTTCGTTTCCTATCTCGTTTTTTAAGATACATCCTTTATTTTTTATTGCAATATACTTTTTTTAAACTCTTTCCGCCCTGTGTGCATTAAGAAGGCCTCTTTTAGCAAGCATATTATGGGTTCGGCCAAGCCCACAACGCTTCCGGACATATCCGGACGGTCCACCATTTGAAAAATTCCTGGGGATTTTTTGATTTGCCAGATTCGATTCCGGGTCCCCCATAGCGGTAAGTTGCCACCTTGATCGCTCGGCAATCCGACCCTTAATGCTAGATACTGTATTCTCTTCGGAATAAATAATATAATAAACTAAACGACAGAGATAATTTTTTTAATTTTAAATGGTTTCATAATATATAATACTAAACGTAGACTTTTCTTTCGGTTGTTTTAATTCACCAAATTTAAAGAAATTCGTGAAAATATCATACTTGTAATTTAATAGTTACTTTACTTTTTAATAGTCTTTAGTTAAGTACGTTTACGTAATAGTTACGTTTTAATAGTTTACTTTTTAATAGTCGCTCAAAATTGCCAATACAGAAGAATTTACAATCGCTAAAGTATACAGAAACATAACAGTGAGATTAGTATTAAAATATTCAAAAAATATTATATGCATAATGCAGTGTTCAAACTTCTATTCGAATTTTTGCTACAACGAATGATATGCTTTAGAGATAGCTATATTTAAATCAGATAATTTCGATATTTCGAGTTCCATTGAAAGCACATTTATGAAACTCTTGAAAGTCGCTCCAGTAAAAGTAGAAAGTAAAGGCCGGTTCCTACAATGGTTTGTACTCTTTCTTTACTCCAACCAGAGCATATTCTAACATGCAACTGGACACAAGGTGTGTAATGAGAATTTTGAATTGTGTAGTGAGAATACCATATCGTGCAGTAATTAGTTGTCCGATTCTGAGATTTTAAGTATTTCTTTCATCTCGTTATATTACTGTAAAGTTAAAGTATTTACCTAAATTTTACAGTGCATATATTATTTGGTTCATAAAAAAAATGTTGCAGAAGGAATGTTGGTAGGATCAAATATATACAATGGATATTTTTTATGCAACCGTAACAACTTTGTTAGCATTTAAAACTATAATCAACAATCACAGCGCACTTATCATATAGTAAATTGTATCACATGCAGGCTTACAAGGCCGGATGGCCGAGTGGCCAAGATGGCAGCCCACCTCTCTGGGGAATCCGGGATCGAATCCGGACAGGTCAAGGAATTCTCAGAAAATTTTCGGGGGTGGTCCGTTCGGATATGTCGGGCCCCACCCCTCACCACCCGGCCGCCTTCTGTGGGCCTGTCCGAATCCATAATGGGCCTGCTATAAGAGGCCATCTTAGTGCCCACAGGGCAGTAAGAGTATTAAAAAAAAAGACTGCACACGTTTAACAGTTAAGATTGAACGATAATTATGAAGATATAAGCCTTTGTTTTCCATTTATGCCCTTTATAACAGCGTATTAACACTAGGCTTGGCTAAAACAAAACTCGTATTCGTTCAGTAGGAAACATTTTAGAACGTTGCTTGAGTCCAATTGAAAAAAATATTTCACAAAGTTTCACCGTTTACTCATAATTAATTTTATTAGCAACACAAGAATAAGCAAAGTGGAAAAGTTTGCGTGATAAGTTCTAAAGGCCAAAAAAAGTTAAAGAAAAACTGTATAAATAATAAGTATACTTACTCTGCAAATGCACAAGAAATACTGTACTGTAAGTGGAATCAACGTAGTAGGCCAATTAAAATCCATTTGATCACGACTTAGCTGTTTTTTCTGCACACTTTCCTTTTATTGAAGCTTGATAGTGCAACTAGTATACAAGAAGTCAGATACATGAATCAATACAACTCAACAATGTACAGATCCGTCCTGAAATTTCGTGAGAATCATCAACCAGTCAAAAGAGAGTTTCGTTTTTAAGCGCGTCTTCTCACTTCATGTGTGAATAACAGTACGCGAATGTATAGTGTACTGTACAGTATAAAAATGCAAACAAATCTACGTCACTTTTTTACACCAGTTAGAATAAGTCTTAAGAAGCGACTACTTTCTTGGCATCTGTTTTCGTTTGTTTCAGTAGAATTGTGTCTTTACTCTTCTGCAGTTGTGATGTTTGGTAATTTTTATCACAAGAATTTCAGTAGACTACTTACAGTCAGTTTATTACAGTCTGTTCCCTATCCAGTTTGTTTATTTTCATTTTCCTGTTTTTTATACAGTAATACTTTAATATAAAATATGATGTAGCATTACATTTTCATTGCTGTCAACTGCATATTTAATACAGTAGTTCGTTCACATAGGCTACATTTTCTAGTACGAGAAGGCCTGCTATACAAATCTGTTTATTGCGTTATGGCTTATAGATATATCCTTTAATGATCACATTATGTGTTTGTTAGTAAATGTAATTAAAATTTCTAATGTTATGTATCATGCTAAGAACATGAAGTGATAAGTAAATAGGTTTTTTTTTTTTTTGCACTATTTTAGTGCATATGAGGAAATTGGTTGGGTTATTCGGTGGTTAGAAACAAGCTGAAATTTTTTCCGTTAGAAATAATAAAAAAACACTTTAAATATGAGAAATTCGGATAACGGAAATTGCTTCCAGGAATGCATTTTATTTAGATAACGGCACATAAATAGGTAAGTTATATATAATTAGACCTCGATTTAGCATTATCATTTTTTGATATTTGAAATTGACATAAGTTAAATATGGCGTCAAGTGAATTGTCTCATACAATACAAATTATATATAGCAAAGAGATCTACACGTAAGTTGAGTTTAGAATTTGACAGTGACATGATATTTGGTGATACAGTAGCTTGTTTGCTGTATAAAGATTGTTCAGTAGGCCTACTTTAATAATTTACAGGTATCGAAGGACTATCTATTCAATACTTACGGGAGAGAGATCCATTGTCGAGTATTTGTTGGGGCTATTTGGAAAAACACTTTATTGAAATTCGACTGTATTTAGATTAATCAAATAAGAAATCTAACCATAGATTCTTTTTCTTTCTATTATAGAATCTTTTTCTTTGTGACTATATTGTATTTTAACTTTAGAAATGTCTAAAAGTTTGTTCTATAAATAGATTGGAATTACCGTAAAAATTCTATTAAATCGGATAGAATATATCAGTCAATAGGAATTTTAACACGGGAACCAAAAAACCATAAGTAGTCAAATGAGACTAAATATAGTGAAACTTCTCCAATGCCATACTCCCTGTACGCAGAGATCGCTTTGTATTTAATTTAGTGAGTTTGTTGTATCCTCGCTCGACAATTTCATGATACAATAAAAATTGTGACCGATATATAATAAAAAGTTTTCCAGAAATTTTTTGGTTTTTAGAGATTTTCGACTGTTTTTTTTTTCAAAATACGATCGAAATCTGCGTAACAAGGAATATATTTTAGATGGTATTAAGGTAGCAATGAGAAAAGTTTGATACTATAGGATTTAAAATCCTACAGGAATATATAATATTTTTAATTAGATTTTCCATCATTGTATGATCATCACTAGCGATTAAATGGTCTAGAGATAAATTTTAACCATAGTTTAGAAGAAAACATTTTCAATTTTGAATTTGCGTAAAATTATTATCTTTTACTTCTAAATCCGATGTATAATATCTAAGGTTTATGTTCCCCGTTCTCGAATATTATTGAAATAAGAACGATTAGAAATTGCCAGTTTGTAAAACTCTTTAATTGCCTGCAGTTAAGACGATTTTTCATTCCACTTTCGAGATGTTTTGAAAGAAGTTTTTAACTTCTCGATGTCAAATTTTCGTTTCTTCATTTGATGTTTTCCAAATCCTCTTTGCCTAATTCTTTCGTCAGAAATAAGATTTGGTTTTTTTAATAAGGAGAAATTTTATTGCCGTAGATGTGTCATATTCAGAGATTCGCATAGAAATTTCCTCAAACATTTAATCGGGAATTTTAAGAAAGTGAATGAAAAGACGTCGCCTATAACTAATAATACTAATAAGTTTCTAAATTTACTGTTAAATTCGAGTAAAACATTAATTTTCCAGTGAAAAAGTTTCACTTTAAATGTTATTTGGAAGGATTGCGATTTATCAAGAGTTCCAAACGTAACGGGAAATATAGGCCTAAATAAAGAGAGAGAAAGATTTTTGCGAATTCTGATAATCATAGAAAATTAAATAAGTCAAACTATTTAATCACGTTTTAATGGAATTTGGCATACGACATTTCTCTATATCCGAATGGTGCTGGAAAGAATATTTTCGTCGAAAATAAATTTTTTGAAAACTATAAAAATGGAAAAAGTTATCGATTTCGAGTATTTTGGAGGGGATATAATTAATAACAAAAAAAAAAAAAAAAAGGAAGAAGGTGGAATGGAGAAACGCGACGACGTCCGTAACGACGTCGACGTAAGCTTTAGACCTCTGCGCTCGTATTTTACGGTGTCGGTGGCTACTCGGGTGTCTGTCTGAAATGTGGGGAGGTCGCGACCGACTAATTTTCCGGCTGACGAGAGTCGCGTCCAAGGAGACGACTTATGTCGGCTCATCCGCTTTCAATAACTCCTCTTCTGCCCCAACCCACTTTCGTCCGCGTTTCTCGGCCATATTTCGCGCAAAATTCTTTTCTCGGCTATTCGAATGTCTCCTATATTGTCAGATTCTCTTCTTTTTTCAATTCTGGTATTAATCCCAGGGAGAATAGAAGAAGAAGCAAACTTAAGTCCGCGTTACGTCGAAGGGTGGGGGTGAATTAGTGCGGTTGGTGTCTCGGGGCGTGGAAGGGAATGGGGAAACAGATGTCGAGAGTCTCCCCGGTCGTAACGCTCCGGTGGGGTGGCGGTCGTAGTTCGCGCCGCCGTAAATCTTGGAGGACGCCGAGTTCCAGATCCGGACCGCGGCGATTTATGTCTTTCGACGTCTTCGTCCGTCGGAAACGCTGGGGGAAGACTCGACTATTCTTTAAAAATAAGGTCCGACCCGGAGAGCGGCTCCTCCCTTCGATCGGAATTATCGACGAATGACCCGGGAAAGGAATAAAGGAGGTGACGAGACGGCGTCGATTGATGGACGCGGTGACGAAAGCGTTTTCCGATCGGAGGTTAGAGTTACGAGGAAGGGACGAGCGCGCCGAGTGATTAACTGTTTCGACCTCGGTACCTTCCGACGCGACGCGATGAAAAACTCTACAACCTTTATTAAAGACTTCTTCGAAACTGGAAATAAGGGGCCACGGGTAAAGGTGGGAGTAGAAAATGCGGAGCGAAGGGCTCGTCGTCCGTTTTATTAAAGGCACTTTCGGTTACGCGAAGTTCCTTACATCGAATCTTTCTATACAACAAATAACTCTTAAAAACCGATTAAATCGAAACATCTCAGTCCTCTAAGAGAAACTCTCCTTCTGTGACGTCGACCGATCCGTTCTTCGTCCGTAATTCGGTGGCGCCACTTCGTTGGGAGTTCCAGGTAACGTCCGAGTGATTCTTCTAAAAATACTTTGACGTTTCGTCGGGACGGGAGCGACGGCGGCCACATTGCCATTGTTTGAAGAGCGGAGAAACTAAACAACGTCTGTATCTATGTAATCGCATCGATGGCCGGCACTCCCGGTCGATTTCTCAGAATTGTCGTTCCGACGTGACGGAACTCATGATGTTGGCGGTGTGAGGTGTGATGCTCTCTACAATCAGCGACAGGCAGTCCAAACTGGAGATGGAGTTAGCTTGAGATTCCATTCCTGCCAACAGAAAGAAACGGTTAATACCCCGGTTACGCTCTTCTTCTTTCTCGCGCTCGTCGAAATAATAACTGTCGTATATGGAGGAAGATAAAAAAAAAGTCTGAGGACGGCCGAGGAGATACGGTCTGGATGGTTCCGAAAACAAGGGAGAGACTGTTAAAGGAATGTTATCTTCGGAATGAGGTTATGTCTCGTAGAAATATTACTTTTGAGATAAAAATGACGTAAACTTACTCGAATAAATTACAAAATTTGAAAGTACGCTCCCAAATATATTTAGATACTTCAAAATTATAAAGCTAACGTGGGTTTGTAGACATTACACTTTTAAATTGCTAATGAATCACGTCTTACAAAAGTATTTATCTAAAGTATTAATCTGTCAAGAATCTATTCGTTCTATTTTAATATTTTCCTAAGATTTTATTTATTAAACGAAGAAAAAAGTTAACAAAGAAATCGTCTATCAATTATACTGAAGGAATCATTATTACCGTTTATTATATTTAAATTTAATACAATATCTCCGTTTCAAATAATTAAAATATCCGATCCGAAATATTTAAAAACAAATAATAAAATTGTAAAATATTATATAATTATAAGAAATATTTTAGCAAACATGAAAAATAAATAAATAACTCAAAATAACGGATTTATGTTATTTATCGGAAAGAACGAAGAGCTAAATGTGTAATCCTGTGTCTGGCCACGTATTAGATAATATAGGAATAAGAATATTCGCAGATCTAAGCGTTGTTGATTCTACTTAGAGCCAGACTCGAAGCGAGTAATCTGGGTGGATCGAGTTACCAAAGTGATGCCGACGGTTTGCCCCGGGGTCATAAAATAGCATCGGTATTTTGCCACAGTGGTGATTTACGTACGACCAGACGTAAAAATACTCGAGTAAATTCTCCAATCTGGCAATCTAAACAAGATAAATATACCGTTAAGAGACAGGTTTAGAACCGTAATTCTCATACCGACCTTTTTTAAACTTCCAATAACGCCAATCTCGTTCTTTTCCTCTTACGTCTAAAGTAATCCCTCCTATAAAGACCAGATCTTCCATCCTCCTTAATGTTTTCCTCCCCCGTCTTTAAAAAGGCGAGACGAAACTCTTAAAAAATTGTACTGATTCGATATTTTTGATCAGAATTACAGAATGCATTTAGAAACTCATTCCCTCCTACTAATAAGTCTACTCTTCTATATCGTCGGCATTTGTTTCAGGAATTTAAAAGCTTGAGAAGAGAGAGAGAGAGACATAATAGTGAATTGTTATTCGATAGGATCCCTTTTTCGTCGATCGAGTAATAATTTCCTCTTCCTTAGAACAAAGAATGAGAAGAAGGGGATCGAAAACGTTTGGCCAAAGAACCGTTAACGCGTCGAATGAACCGTAAAAATCTGACAGCTGTTTCTAACACAAAGAAATAGTCGGACAGTAAAATTAGCTACCGATAAAACCCAAAATTTACAACACCAGGTTGGCGCAATAAAACGCATTTTAACGCTAAAGACCGCCCATCTCATTAGATTAAACTATTATGACAACCAATGAAAGAGCGGCGTCTCGGTCGTACCACAAGTCATTCAGATTTATAGGTGTGTAAAAAGGATGTACCAATTATAGCACTCCGAAGCCAAAGTGTAGAAACCTAGTAAATTATATCTTTTGGCTTCGGGCCCGCCGTTTTTTTATCCCCCTGTTTTTATAGACGGAAACCGAATACGGAACTCGTGTAATTTGTTCTAAATGCTCCCGCTTTTAATGAAGACGACGAAGATTTCTAAACCGAAACGAATTGGAAGGATAAAACTGTATTTAAAATCACTCCACACCATTAAATTCGCCAAAATCCGCGGATAAACTTCGAAGAATTTCGTACTCTAAAGTCGTTTTCTACAAAGAATGGCTTCTAGCTCGTTTTCCTCATAATACGCGTCCTTACTTAATTCCTCTCCAAGCAAAATCATCGATTCGTTTATTATTTAATGATAAGACGTCACTTGAGCTAACGACTAAGACACAAAATTATCTTTTTAAGTCATCTTTATATTCCAGAAGGAAAATTTGATTTAATCAATAAAAAGTTTCAATTTTGTTTCAAATACTAGACGAGTTGATAGATTTAAATCCGGTCTTTTTTATTAAGGCGACATGTAAAATTTAATTGTTTAAATGTTAAGGCGTTGAAATAAAAAATAACTTTTTATATGAATTTTTCGGTTTATTTGGTAATTTATGATTTACGAAGTAGGAAATATACGAGCATTATCAAATGAAAAGGAAAACAGATATTTGACAGAAGTAGGAAAAATGATATCTCATTCGACGCTTCCATTGGCCTTGTTTGTTTAACGCGGAATTTGCCAGAATAACTGTAATTTTCATTCGTTTAAATTATAAATTGCTTTTAATATCTCTTAGAAAACTTTTCACGTAAGCTTTCATATTTAAATAAAATTTTAAAAATTGATTACAATCGTTTGGATGCAAATATTTTCTGAATTTTCACTTCGGTAAACATTTAAATATATTGTAATTAAAAACTGGATGAAATTACTGTTTATAATGAAATAATCAATTGAATGACTTAATTTTACAATTATAGCAAAATATTTATTATTAGCAGTATTTTAATTAATAAATAATATTATCAGAAACGAGGAAATTTTCGTAGAAATTTTATTTTCGAAAAGTTTGGTTTAAAATTGTTTTTAGTCGTTTCATTTTTAAATATGTTTTATAACTTTGTTCTTTTTTGATATCTGATAAACAAAAACGCTAAAATTTGAAGAAAATATTTCGAATAGACACAAAAACCATTTTAACAACGATGTCTTTAAAAACTGTAGACTGTTTTAAATATTTTATAGGCCTATATTCAATTCCACAAAGTACCGTACAGCTTTTTTATAATTACGACTATAAAATTTTGTAGACATTATTTTCTCGTGGATAATATTTGCTATTCTCTTTTCGACATTTTGGTTAAACTTTCATTAATATAAATTTCGAACTTTCCAATCTATTCGCATGAAATTTCCTTTAGAACCAGTTTTTGATACCAGGAATAAAGATTACTGTCACATAGTTCTGAAGTACTTCTGCGACTTTAATTTCACAGAAAACGTAAGAAAATTCACATTTACATTAGCTTCTCGGATGAATGTTTTATATAAATTCGAAAGAAAGAAATCTGGTTTGTTTTAACGAAACCTCGTTGGTAAAGCATTTAAACTATTCGAGGTTCCTTCGTTTTAAGTTTTTCATAAAAGATTAAAGAAAAATATATCTAACTATGAAAAAATAATATTTTCCTTTTTTTTCAAGCAAGTTAAAGTATAAAACGTTTGCGAAATATTTTAATTACTGTTTTAACTGATTCTTCGGAAGGTCTGAGCTATTATTTGAGAAATCTCGGTAATGGCGTAGACTTAAACTGTGTGAATTTTATATTACTTTGAGAAAATAAATCGTCTTTCACTTGTGTTTCTCAGACTAGTTAAAGCACACAGATTAAAAAGTATTAAAACAACCAAAAAAAAATTAAATTAAATTCGTCCTTCCCTAGTCCTACAAACTACCTTAAAATTTCCAATTTTATATATCAATCCATTATATTTTTTCTTTTGTCTACAGTCGAAGAAGCATCTCCGAATTCATTATATAGGACCGACAAAAATCATTTATAACCAAATGAATGCATTTTCTACGTACGAATATTGAAATAACATAAAGCAATCTAGGCTATATTATATATTTTAAGGAATTAGCCTTATTAAATATTAAAATTCTTTAGAAAGAGAAAAGTAAAGAAAAAAATTCCTCGAAGAATAAATTTGAAAATAGCCAGGATTTTGCGAATTTAGTAAGTCGTTGATCTCGAAATATACAGAACTCGTCCTTAGGAGATAGCCTAGTCTCGTCTTTTACTCATTCGTAAATTAATGAAAATAATATCCCGAGATAGCTAATATCAACACATTTTGCTAACTTGTTTCGATTTTAATTCGGATAAAGAAATCAAAATGGATAGAAGTAGAAATTTTTTTCTGTCTGTTTTTTTTATTCTATTTTTAATTTCTCGAACTAAAATAGTGCAAATAGTTTTTCTAGAGTAACTTATATTGTCTGTTCGAACAAAATACGAACTATTTTCAAATCCTGTCCCAGACTACACCTCCAATTGTTTCAAGATTCGATAGACGAATAAAGAATAAATGGAGAAACTGTTATTCGGTTTCTACAAAATCCTCACTCGTTACGGACGACAAAAATAACTTCTCTTAAACAACAGTTTCGTATCACGGGCTCGCACTTTATGACATTACTTCAAATATAGAAACTTCTTATATTAAATTCGAACCAATTGACTTCCTACACCTAAAAGAGCCGGATACAGATCTATAAGATCGATCAATTTATTTTACTTCCGAGGAGTTGTTGGAAGTGAAATCTTCGAATTTGTCTTTTCGATAGAAATAATATAGCCTAAACATCTAAGCATGCCTTTAAATTGTTATTTAAATACTATATATATATATATATTTCTGCAGTTTATCGACAGTTTAAAACTCATTCTTTTAGTATTCGGTATAAATAGTTAACTTTCGACTAGTGTGTGTACAAAACAAAGTGAAACTACAAGTGACATCTCTCGAATGTTTACGTTATTTCTTATTAAAAAAATTTGATCTCCCATTAATAATAAAAAAAGATAAACAAACACGAATAAACATTCTTCTCAACGATTGACTGGACGGATGAGATTATCTCTAACGTGAAAAATACGTTACGATTGATCGAAGAAATCATTCCATAAGAGAATATTATTAGAGTAATTCTATTCAATATAAAGAGAAATATTTTCGCGTCTGATTTAATTTTCCTGATTTTCTTTTATTCGGATGGATTGTCGTGTAACACGTTTTACTGTTCAGCTTATTCTATAATTTATGATTATCAGCTTTTTAAAATAATTGCA